GAACAGGACTCTGAGTCGACGCTGTACCAGCCAAACGAAAGACAGCACGATACGATTTTTTTCGGATGTGTACAGCGTCTCAGCAATTTAATGCGTGACTACGAATTGGCGCTGCAAGGAATGGCATTAAAGTTCGAGACGTGTTCAGTTCATGCCCACGTCTCGATGATCCGGCTGCGAACGGGGATTCCAAGTGTCAGGAAGTGACCATTTGAAGAGAAGGACCACTTCGCAACTGACAAATTGGTGCAGCTAGGTGGAACAGAATTCCAAAAAAGATGGGCTTTTAGGTGGACAAGTGAACACGTTCGAAATGATAAGACTGTCTCGGACGGACACGCCGGGCGTGGTTTTGCAGATCGATATGCTACGTGAGCAGATAACGCTCCACTTCGATAATGCCTGTCAGTGTGAAGGATCAAAGAACGCTAAAAACAAAGCAATCATCGCACCTCAGTGGAGAGACATACTGGGATTCGGAAGAGAGTGGGGCCAGAAATAAAAAGAAGCCAGCGGTTTATTCATTGCATTATCAGTCAGCTTCGGAAACAGTTTGTCAAGTGCTAGTTATTAGGAATGCAATTGAATTTATAACAGATACGGGGAGGGGGGGGGGGGGGTAATATCTAGAATGAGCTATACGGATATGAAATTACTTATGATGAAAAGGGTCACTGTTGGGGGATAGTCAGGCAAGGATGTAGAGATTATGGAGTTTGCTCAACTTCGGGGCAAAGGAAGCGAAGGGCGAGTTATTGGTGGTAGACAGAGGAAAATCAATTCTCAGAAAAGAAATGTTGGGTAGACTGCACGCGATGCACATGTACAGTTAAGATAATTCAAAGGTTCAGCCTATTTTCGGGGGAATTGAGGCGTGTAAAAAACAAAAAAAGAGACGATCAAAAATTGACAATGAATATTGTTCGGATTATCATTGATAATGAGAAATTAAGTGACAAAAGATATGAGCATGTTGATTTGGGAACCCTGCAACTGAGGAATCGGAATGGATGTCAGCCATGATAGTGGCAGTCAAGGGGCATCGACCTAACGAGGCCACTGCGCCTGACGTTTTTCTGCTGCCACACCTAAAAGACCTACTGACAGAGCTTAAAGGGGCAAAATTGTTTTTTTTTTAGTGGACGTAATGTCAGCCTACCATCAAGTGGAACTGGTGGAAGATTCGGGAGCTTAGTTATTTCTGCGGGTGTGTTTTAGGTTGGCATTAGTTATAGCTGTTCTAGAACCTAATGAAGCATTTTGTGGGAGACCTCGACATTGGAATCGGTGTTTTGAGAATCTTAAGAATAGCACGACGAGCGGCTGCATAAGATGTCCGAATGAATCGAGTACTCGGCAAGTACACTGAACAAAACATGCATCGAATACAGCAAAATTCGTGGGTCAACCACGTGGTCGAAAACAAAGCTGACCGGAAACGCTGAACAAGAGCCTAAATCTACTGAAATGAAAAGACGGGTACTCCAAGCGCCACCAATGCCAATCTTCGATTTTACAATACTGACTATATCAGCGACCGACGCATCAGGCGCGAGGGCTTGCTGCAGTAGCATAAAAACCTGAACGACAGTCAACGCCGTTATTCGACGAAAGAGAGTGAAGCATTGGTGATTATTTGTAGTGAAAATGCGGCATTCTGGCGAAGGATGTCCACCTGGTATCGAACGGATTACCGAAAGTTAGTGGTATTCTTAAGGGCGGAAGGCACCGGACTCCAACAACAACCGCTGATAAATTACAATTCTGAAATAGATTACATACATAAATAGTATGTACCGGAAACGCTGTGGAGATTCTACATCCGAAAAGCCGATCAGACTCAGAGTACCCAAGAAGGAGACCCCAGGCGCCGTTACGGCTGAACAGTCGAAGCTTATTTGGCACTTGCACTTCCCATTTGCTTCCGTAACTACTTGGTAATGAGGCGTATAATAAATGCTATCGTGCTCGCGTGTTCATGCATGTCAGTATTCGCTAACTTCTTACATGTATGCATCGTGCACAAACGTCATGATTTCTTCCCGATACTGCTGGAAGGTAGCAGCATCGCGACGAAATTCTTTAATAAGAGACATCGGACGGCCGCATCTAGATTGTTCGCTACCGCAGTTGTCGAGCTCCGTTTGGCCATGCTGGTCGTACATGAATGACGTCGTACAGAGAGCCTTCATTGAACTGCCTTGCTGCATTGGCTCCTCCGGTGTGGGCTTGCCGGTGGATTAACAACACCGATAACTTCCAATAGCCATAAACTTTCCAGGTTGCACGCGAACTTCGAAAAAGCAGTTGTGCAACACACAAAATAAACCTGCGCAGCTTCAGCCCTGTGTGAGCTCGGCGAAGTTCCCCTGCGACTACCTAACCCGGTGCCACGCCGTTGTTACTGATTCGTTAATAATATCCAGCAGTCAGTTCTTTCGCATGACACTGTAAAGTCATTCAAACGCCAATGACTTCCTTGTTAGATCAGCACTGATCTAGGCTCGAGGGCAAAACGAACGTGAGATTTTTGATTGGACTGAGAAGGACTTGAACCGGGACCTGTCTGCGGCCGACTGCAATCTGGACACAAGCTGTTATCACTAGTGGGTTCTGCACAGCGACGCAGGGCATTGATGGAATTGCCCCTAAGTGCACATTTGTTCTGTCGTGACCGAAGAAGCTTGTTGTCACGCCATTTTAACACCAGGACATTTTTCGTCGTTGGGATGACGTCGGTCCAGGTATTTGAAATAATAATTTTTTGCGCTCCATACTGCTACGTCGTTCTTGGAAGCTCATAGAAGCAGAGCACTACTATGATATGCCACTATAAGACAAATGCACATTTAAGAACTGCGTTGACTTGCAATGACGCCTCGTCGTCGTTCGTTGAACGACGGACGACGAGCCGATCAATGGGAACATTGATGCTCCGCTTGACGCCGTCGGGAGTTAGCGGGTAATTTTCTCTGTCAGCTCCATGAGACTGGCGCACTGGACTCACCTGTTCCTTTTGATTACTTTATCGATAAACATATCCTACCAGGCTTTCAAACCGTTTCGGTGTTCCTCTTATCATCTTCATGACTGTCTCAAACGTTGTTGCGTGAGCTATTCGAGGCCACTAGCTAATTTCGGCGCCTCGGGTCACCACGATCGGACGAGATGTTGTCTGGGATGTCTTGTCGCAGAACTGTCCGTCCCATGGCCAGCCTAAAACCTCAACGTTCAGGTTCGGCACTGGCAGCATCGACTCTCGTATATTGTTCTGCACACATAGCCATTTCATGTCATTCGACAGCTTCACAACAGGCACAGGTCGGCGATCAACCGATATTTATCCAAAATTTACATTTCACAACTTCAGCGCTGTGTCTTGGAGTCGCTGATTGGCTAAATTAGGTCCCAAACTTGAGTAGGGCTACCAGTTTGTCGCTGTTCCATATAATACAGTTAGCGGTGGAGACACAGGACATGACCTGAGCTGGCGATGGTGGAAATGGTCCCCGTAACGACGCAACGGTTACACGTCGCCTACTCAACTTAAGGACGCATGAATTGGTCTTGGTTCAAAACCAGGTGTAGGCACATTTAATTTCAAGAGGTTTAACCGCCTGATGCAATTCCTAACGGTATTTTTTCGAGGTGAAGACGGAAGCTGACTGCTTTCATGGCTGTCCAGTCAAACCAAGCGCTGCGCGCTAGTTCGCAGCTCGACAATGCAACAGTTTCTTTTAACGCTGTGTGAAAGACTATTATTAAGCTTTTGTGTCTCAGGGCATAAGTGGAGAGCAAATGTCCAGTATCTTCTGCAACCTTCTGACGCACTTGCACGACGAGTATCTTGGCGTAACTAGTTTAATAACTCACCTACGCTGTAATCATAAAGTGATCACTCATTCGCTATTATTGGACAATAATCAGTTAGAGTAGAGGCACAATTCTAGACGCTTTTTGGGAGACACACCCTTCTTTGTGTGAAGATCTTGGTGAAGTAGTAGTCTATCTAATTCGCTGAAATGTTCCGTGGCTGAACGAAGTCAACCCACTGTCAGAAAGCCGCACGGTCATCGGTGTGTTGTTATGCGATCGGGTAGTTTCTTGTTCGAAGTTTTTATTCAGCGCAAAAAGTAAAGGTTCAAGTGCATCTTGGTCATTACGTACTACTTGGGAAAAAAATTATTTAATAAATAAACTTTAAAAAAAAGTATTTAATAAACAATTAAGATATGCGCCCAATTAAATGACATATGGAACTTTATTTAACTGTAATGAGTTGATGATTTAACAGAAAAGCATCCATTAGAAAATCGTCCAACCCAGGGTATCTTATCTTTGCAAGTCTATGAATGCATTCGCTCATCGTTGCGTTCGCGATCTTATCTATACAACATACCCCAACAGCGCAGGCCAACTGATAAGACGCTTTTGAGTGATCCATGTCGTTCCAAAACATACGCACATATACGAATGTTCGTGATACTTGACAAATTGTCTATACATTGTTATTAACTTGTTTACAAATATATCTATCTAAATGAGGACAAATATTGCAAACATTTGGATGATCGGGCACGTGTTTATTCAATATAATTGACGTTTGTCTCACTTTAGCACAAGCAAGTTTCAAGAGCCCTTTCTTTAGCTCTATCTTTTGCTACGAATCATCATTGAAAAAAATATTAGTATTAATATATGTAAACTCCGCCTAAATAAGTATAAATAAATAAATAAATAAATAAATAAATAAATAAATAAATAAATAAATAAATAAATAAATAAATAAATAAATAAATAAATAAATAAATAAATAAATAAATAAATAAATAAATAAATAAATAAATAAATAAATAAATAAATAAATAAATAAATAAATAAATAAATAAATAAATAAATAAATAAATAAATAAATAAATAAATAAATAAAGTGCCGCCTAAATATAATATAAACACACGAGCAAGCTTGCAGTCTGGACAATTCTAACAATTCAGAGGTCTGAAAAGACCGAAAAGTCTAAGAGGGGCAAAAAAAGCTTACGAGGTCTAGAAAGGACTGTTCGGTGAGGCTTGCCTTACCGATCCAATCCCCTCTTTGATTCCTGGATACACTATAATGTATTTATGAATCTGTTTTATAACCGAAAGAATCAGCTTTTTCGTGCTGTTAGGAATAGGCGATGGATGCATGCCTACTTCGCCAAACGGCCCGCCAAGATGCGTCACAACTTATCCCAAATACCCTGTATTTTTCAAACTCCCTTCACGCTCGCAGCAATTGGGCAGACTAGTCAGGCAGGATTATTAATGTAATACTCTAAAGCTTAGGTAAAAACCTTCACTATGTCCATGCAAGAAGGCTTAGATCCGCCCAAAATATAAACTAGATCGCTATGGCATGAAAACCCACCTCAGAATTTCGCCGTTATGCAAGGGAATCGTACACGAAATCAGCCAACTTTGGCAATTTTTATTCTACAATTCATCCTAGTCAATACATTTTTACATGAGATAAAAGATGTTACCAAAAACAATCTCTAGGAAAATATAATTATAGCTCAGGTACGCTTGCACGTAAGTCTATATTTGTTTCAAGTTGGCCGAGTGATATCAACTAATCGATGAAGGCGTAAGGACCTCGTGTTATTATCACGCATTAAATCCATAGTAAATGTCTAGAATTGGCCAAACGCGTATTCCCAACGCTCAGATAATATGCCACAAACAGTTGATTCGACGACAAACCCTTCCTTATTAGATTTCCTATAACGCTAATTGAATAAAATACTGGAGATACATAATGAAACACCGCTTTCTGATGCAGTCTATCGAGTGTAGCTCATGTGGTTACTCGTAGTAAGTACGGTTCTATGACTATGGATAATTTGGTAACATGTATTTGAACAAAAACGTCCGAAAAACCACGATGTCCGGTAACGCGGTCCCTGTGCAGGGAGACGTTGTTTCCTTATGTGTCGGAAGTCTTCGGTCACAAAATGTATTCGCACTAGGTGTCGCCACATTCAACAAATGCTGTTCATCGCCAATCATTGCAACAAGCCAGTCCCAGCTAGAGAATCAATGGCGGTCTCTTTTAGCTTCAAACTAGCCAATTACCTATTCCATCGTTGTTATCGTCGGCATCATTAGTTGCCGGTACGATATATATGACCATTTCGTGGTGTGACTAGAAGAATTACGGACAACCATTTCAAATTAAACTATTGCTACATCATTCTGTAAAGGATGGTGCCCATCACGACGGCGTAGAACGAACGTAACCAAAACAGCTTCACGTGCAAATGTGCTGACATGATCTGAAAAACCGCAGCCTCGGCAGCTGAATTGTACGACCCTTTATAGTTAATCGTTCGTTTTACTGGCATTTCGTCTGCTTATTTGTTTTCAACAAAATATGCAACTCCCGAAAATTGCGAGTGAGACGCTAATTGTTGTTGTTAGATGTGGAGAAATGCTTTTGACAAAATCACGTTTAAATTTTCTGCGCGAGGAAAAACAATAAACCCGTTTGCGATGCTCAGCGCTTCATACTTCTGCAATATCGAAACTCTTGTCCGAGAACCGCTCGCGAGAAAAATAGGTCGGTACCTGTTTTTTTTATTACCATCAGCAGACAAGAAAGAAATCTATGGACCTGCTGTGTTGCCTACGTGACTGCCTGTCTGGGACTTTGTGAATTACTTTATTTCCTGTAGATAATAAAGAAGGAAGATATTGTCTGACTGAATCTGAGGTGACGATATAAGTAGACAGTAATTCCTCTAATACTGGTAAGATACACGATAAGCTCAGTGTGTCAAATGTAGCATAACACATCAAAATCAAAGACCGTTCGTTTCATACAGGGGATCTTCAACTTTTAACGTAGCTAAAATGCCTATTGTTTCTAATCCGTCCACATTTTGCATGAACGCGGTAATAGCCAACGTAAAGACAACTGACCAAGCTGGATTTAGGTTTAAAAAGAAGGCTAACAAGAAGTTTGAATAAGTCGGATCCAGATTTGAAAAGTCAAGAATACTAACGTGCAGTTCGCAACTCGATGAGTGCTAGCTTCGAGATGGCTTTCGTGATCCGGGGCCTCATGGCACCGCTTCACATAGATGAGTTAAGTGTATGGGGTGCGAGTCTACTTGACAAGTTGCCAGTACTGATGTAAGGTTCTCATGTACGCGCTGTGCTAGAACTGCTGACTTGTACATCTTATATACAAGGCAGGCTAAGCATGGAGTACCTCTGGATCAGTGAAGGCTTCTGAAGGCACTAACTAATCCAGAAATCTATATTTTAACTTGCACTAAGCTTCGATCAGGCGTTGATCTGAATAAAGTCCCATTAATCCGTGCTTTAAAAATAATCACACTTACGTATTTTAGTACTGCAGAATCTTTTTGCGAGCATCAATGACTGCTCGTGTTAACAAAACAGAAGATTTATTATTGTACGATGAGCTTACGAAGATTTACACCTTAATTACTTAATGACATTTTTTTTTTATTGAATCAGTAATGCGTTCCTCAAGGTGCGCTCTTCGGAATATCCGTATCGAAGCCTGAATCTATCTACGAAGCTACGCGTTAGTCTCATTTTAATTACAAGTTAAACTTCATTTATATATATGACTTCGGACAAAAGGCAATTACAAGGTAGAAGCGACGTAGTAGTAGTAACAGTGTACGTTCTATCTACGTAACTGAGTTAAGCACGAAATAGATATGCAACATCTTAATATGATTTGTCTCATTCCTAAGCCCTCGTATTACCTTTACGGTTTTTGGCCCCATAGTTTGCCGTCGCAATTCAACGAGACTATTCCTATTTTAGAACAACCATTGATTGTCTCCCTTCCTCCCTCTGACAACAGGCGCTAGGGGCAGGCCAGACCAGGCCGTTTAGAGTGTTGTCTTGAGTGGCATAGCCCGGCGATGCTACAGGGGCAAGTAAGCGAACAGGTATTGTCATTCGACGTGACGCAGTTTGTTGCTGTCAATCAGTTCGCTTTTTACCAGCACGACCAGTCGTCGAGGGCCTCTTATAGCCGCGCAAAGATAAGATGGCGATAATTTACATGTTACTCGATAGAAATAGGCACTCCCTCTGGCAAAAATACACTCGCTTACGCGATGAGCGCGCGCGCTTACACGCAGATACTGGCAGACAGACAATAGCTCACATGTATAGGCCCACACGAATAGACGGGCGGACAAAGGTACAGATGCACACACACAAACACACATTCATACATGCAGATACGCACACACACACACACACACACAACACACACACACACACACACACACACACACACACACACACACACACACACACACACACACACACACACACACACACACACACACACACACACACACACACACACACACATACACACACACACACACACACACACACACACACACACACACACACACACACACACACACACACACACACACACACACACACACACACACACACACACACACACACACACACACACACACACACACACACACACACACACACACACCACACACACACACACACACACACACACACACACACACACACGCGAAGTCGTGTATCTACACGTAGAAAGAACAGACTGATGTTTCGAGACTAGCTCATCCGAGCTAGTTCATGCAAGGGAGTGAGTAAGAGATGTCCAAATGGACGATGGTGGCAATGGCAATGGACTTTGCCTACAAAGACGATGACAGGGCATTTTCAACCACCATTTGCCCAAAACCCTTAGGGATACGTTCACATTAGGCACCAGTTCAATACTTATTTTTCACTTCCTTTATCATCACACATACTTTGAAAATGTGAAGCCCTTCGATAGTGGCTGGTTGGCAGCACCGGAAACCCAGTTATTCGAGTAGAGGTTTTGTACTAGTATTCATTAGTTTTTCCCAGAGCCAATTATCATTAGTCAGTGGAGAACCTGACGTTTATTTGTTTCCTACGTTTCAACGGATAGCAGATCGGAGAGAGTAAGTCCAGTATTTGAAAATATATTATCTAGGCAGTTCTTCTCGGGTTGTGTGTTTGCAGTAATAGAAAATAAGTCAAAAGCTCCCTACAATATACATATATAATATAATATAATAGGGGCAATCATCATAGGACAATCATCATAGGAAGCCGGCTTTGACGCCATCTTACATTTTGATGTGTCAACGTCGTAAGCTAACCATTGCTGAGAGCTCAATGATCAACGAAAAAGGGTGCTCTTCTCTTTGTTGTAGCCTTTCTTTTTTCGAAGTTTCGTATCAGAGCCCGCGCCCACTTTGTTTGTTTTCCTTCTAGCAAAAGCTGATTACGTTTTGCGCGGTGGTTAGCCTCCAAGCACTTCATGGTTAACAGATGATAACGACCGTTTGTCTGAAAGAAAGTCTCACTAGATTTCATCGTGCCTGATTGTGTTATGATTTCAATTATCACCGTCGTCGTCATTGCAGTTACTCTATCTACAGCATCTAAGCGATTACGTGTCAGTGTTCATAGTTGTGCTGTTGTCATCCATGCATCAAAACGGTACACGACTCACCCCTGCCGCTTGTTCTTTAAGGCCACTATAGCGCCATCCACAATAGCCGTATCCTAAATTGGAATTGACCATATCGTGAAAGACTTGTGGTAAACAAAACTGCACATATCCGTGTGCACAATCCTGTCCTATGCATGACATCACACACCATCGTCTGTTGTCGTCCGCCTATTTCTGTACCGTGCCTTGTTGTTGTGATCTTGGACATTTATTTACCTTACATAAAAAGCTCATTAGTATCTTTTAGAAGTTATAATTGTTTATCTAATTATAATAAGCTGAAGGCCTAACTTGATTTTTTGTATTCACTGTCTTTGTTATATAGGTTCTTAAAGCTAAGAATGTGCTCTAACGAGGTTTTTGTCCTTACTTGGGCTGCTATTCAAGAAGATACTCGTCTCAAATTTGTTTATCGAATTTCATTAATTAAACACCTTTTTCCACAAGAAATATATATATATATATATATATATATTATTCAAAGAAATATTATATTGCCATTCAAATCCGATTTCGCCCACTATTTTTTCTTTCTTTAAAGCTCCTTTGCCCCGACCTACTTCCGTTTTCCGTCGTTACGCTTTGTACAACCTCTCGTCCCTTCGATCGTTTCGAAGCTATCGAAATTCCATTATTATTATTATTATTATGACAAATGCGGTAGGTTTTCACTAAATATTTCAACAAAGTGAGAAAACCCTACAAGCAAAATTGAGACGAGGACCTCCTATAATTTGCAGCTAAAAATCAGTTTACATAATGTGCATACTCTCAACGATATTTAGTGAACGCTTAATATGCTTTTCACGAGTGTCCTCAGTACAAAACATAAAATTCCACTCTACTTCATTTTATTGAAATATGTTTATATTCAGTCCAATATTTTAATACTTAGCATTTTTCATTTATTTCTTGATTTTCTCGACACAAGGGTGGAATATGCTCGAGGTTATGACGATAGATGCAGCCACTCAGAGCATTTTTTCTCAGAGAAGATACTGGCTGGAAAAGCCAAGACGGGCACCTGTTTTTCTATTAATGATTGCTTCTACCAGATGATCCGTCTTCGATATGTTTGCAGAGTTATTGTGTTTTCGACCTGAAATTTGCCTGATGAAAATCATTCTGAGCATTTCCTTCATCCGATTATGGCATATAACGACAGGTGTTATAAAGAGCGAATGACCAGTGATTGATGTACATAGTTTTCGTAATCCTTGTGGGGTATTTGCTTGATCGTAACAGATTCAAGGTATTTATTAATTCAAAACGTCGGGCCTTCTTTACTTGCTAATTTTACGGAATCGAACTATGCATTTTTCTCGCGATACTGTCATCCAGCTCCGCATCCATATATCAAACATGGCATCAACGATAACATAACGGCGTTATAAGCCCCCCAGATATTGCAACCGTTTGCCTCCTATGCCTATCAAGAAAGCAAGCATTAGAAGCGGATCTCTATCGGACAGTTATCTGTCTATTGGGTTTCGTTCTTGCCAAAAAGGGCTCTCTATCGGTGAACTTAGGTATCTATCTACTAGCCCCCTAACCCCCATTCTCGTATCGCTGTCCGTGTTGTCCGTTCCTACGTAAGCTCGTTCGTGCGAAAGAGCTATTGTTAATCTTCAACAGCTCGGCGACAGTGGCGACAACGACGGAGCTGACGAGCGTCGTTTGGTGTTTGTCAAATAGAAAAGAGCAAGCAGCGCTTTCCTTGTTGCTGCCCACGGCGCGCTTCTACCGAGTAAGTCTCTTAGTACTGGTAGCATG